AATGTTCTGTAGACATCTACTAGGTCCACTTGATCTATTGCATATTTTAGATCTTGGATTTCTTTATTGAGTTTTTGTTTGGATGACCTATCTATTGATGATAATGGAGTGTTAAAGTCTCCCACAACCACTGTGTTGGCGTTTATATATGCTTTTAGGTCTTTCAGGGTATGTTTGATGAAATTGGGTGCGTGACATTGGGTGCGTACAGATTGATGATTATTATTTCCTTTTGGTCTATTTCCCCTTTTATTAGTATGGAATGTCCTTCTTTTATCTCGTTTGATCAATGTAGGTTTGAAGTCTACTTTGTCAGAGATAAGTATTGCTACTCCTGCTTGTTTTCGGGGCCATTGGCTTGGTAAATCTTTCCAGCCTTTCATCCTAAGCATATGCTTATTTCTGTCGGTGAGATGAGTCTCCTGTAAGCAACAAATTGTTGGATCTTCTTTTTTAATCCATTTTGTCAAACGGTGTCTTTTGATGGGTGGAATTAAGTCCATTAACATTAACGTTAGTACTTGCAATAGGCCCTTTCCCCCAATCTTCAGCGCTCAGACGCCCCACCTCTTCCAGCGTGTCTTAACTGTTCGTATTGCTTAGTACTCAGCTTTCTTCTTTTTTCCGGTTGGAGGTCAGTCTTGTCCAGGGGCATGCTGCTCCTGGCCCAGGCTTGTCTGTGGGGGAACCGCATGCTTGGTACCGCGAAGCTCACCTGGTCCGCCGTCTTCCAAGCCGTATGGTTCCGGCCCACTGGCGGCCCGGGGCCTCCTCGGTTCTCGTTAACGTGAGGTGGGATTTCTCTGCGCCGGGCTGGAGATGTGGAGGAGTCCAAAGTATGCCTTTTCTCAGGTATTAGCCTGCAGCAAGTGTTGTCTCCAGGCGTCTCTCCAAGATTTCACATAGGAGGGTCGCTTTCTGCTTCCTCCTCTAGGCCGCATCTTTGGAATTTTTGCCAACACTGTTCCAACCTCTTTCACTCTGATTATTTTGGAGATGGGGTCTTGCTTTTTGCCTGGGCTGGCCTGGACTGCAATCCTTCTATTTGTGCTTTCTGCTGTTTCTGGGATGACAGGCGTGTACCACAATGTCCTGCTTTTCCCTGTTGAGATGGGGTCAGGCAAACTTTTGGCCCAGGGTTGGCCTCAAATCATCCTCCTCCTGATCTCAGCCTCCCAAGTAGCCGGGATTACAGACAGGAGCCACTGATGCCCAGCTTTTCTTTTGTTTTTAGAAAAGAAACATTTTTGATAATTTATTATTCTATGTATTTTTTCTGTTTACTCATATCTATTTTTCTTATTGATGTGTTTATTTTTAAATTAAATTGTAACAGGAGTTTATAAATTAAGACTATTTACCTTTTGTCTTTTATATATGTTCCACATATTTAAAAAACATTTACTTGTCTTTGTTTTGTTGTTGTTTTTTGTTTTTTGCAGTACTGGGGATTGGGGATTGCTTACATGTACGAGGCAGGTGCTCTACCTCTAAGCCACACCCCAGACTTATCAGTCTTTGTAAGTACTTTGATAGCTTCCTTCTTGTTTATTTCTACTTAAAAAAATTTGTGTGGGGGAAGTTGAGATAAGGTCTTGCTTTGTCACTCAGGCTGACCTAGAACTCACTACCCTCCTGCTTCAGTTTCTCAAGTGCTGGGATTACAGAGTGTACCACCACACTCAGCCCCATTTTAAAAGGGCTGTTTCCACTCTTGGTTCTTGTGAGCAAGAACTCTCTTGGTTCTGCTGCGAGCATTGGTACAACGAACGTGTTTGAGAATTAACTAAATTCTGTCTGCTATCACTACATACCTGCTAAAATGGCCAAAAGCCAGAACACTGACAACGGCAAATGCTGGTGAGGATGTGATGGTGGGAATGCAAAATGGTACTGCTGGCTGCTGAGATGGCTCAAGTAGTACAGCACCTGCCTACCAAGCACTAGGCCCTGAGTTCAAACCCCAGTAGCACAAACAAACAAACAAAAAACAAAAACAAAATGAAGAAGAAAAAGGGGGGAGAGGAGGAAGAAAAAATGGTACAAACACTTGTACAGTTTGGCAGTTGTTTACAAAACTAAACACTCTTACCACTCTGTGCAGTATTCATGCTGTTTACCCAAAGGGGTTGGAAACTTATGTCCACACAAAACCCTTCACATGGATTCCATAGCTTATTCATACTGGCCAAACCCTAGATGCAATCAAGGCGTCCTTCAGTAGGTGAGCAGATAAATGAGCTGTGAATATCCAGACAGTGGAAGATTTTGCTGTGTTAACAAGAGATGAACTATGAAGCCATGAAAAGACACCAGGAAAAGTACATGCCTGCCACTAAATGAGAGAAGCCGATCTGAAGAGACCATCCACATGTGATTCCAAATACATGGCATCTGGGAAAGGCAAAACTATGGAGACTGTCAAACGATCTATGAGAGGCAGAAGGGTTAAGCATGAGAACTTTTAGGGCAGTGAAATTACTCTGTAGGATGTAATCGTAAATACATGTCATTATACATTTACCAAAACCCACAGAATGTGTGTGATGATTAAAAATGTCTAGGAGAGCCAACCACTGTGACTCATATATATCTGGAATACTAGCTACCAAGGAGGTAGAGATTGGGGATCAAGGTTGGAGGCCAGCCCTGGCAAAAAGATCTCAAGACCTCTAATTCAACAAATAAGCTGGGTGTGGGGGTGCAAGGGCTGACCCTGGGCAAAAATACAATATCCTATTTGAAAATAACTAGAGCAAAAAAGGTCTGGGGCCGTGACTCAAGAGTGCCTGCTTAGTAAGCACAAGGCTGTGAGTTCAAACCCCAGTGCCACTAAAAAAAAATTGTCTGGAAAATTAGTAAAGCACATTTCTGGGTGTGTCTGTGAGGGGATTTCCAGAGATGATTAGATCATGAGGGATCTGACCTAATGAGTATTTTTTTTTATCCCATGAAATTTATTTTCTCTTCCTTTAAGCAAAATCATTATGTTGTTATCAAGATTTTAGTACTGGGGATTTTTCACCACTAGAGCACTTGCCTAGCACCCAAGAATCCCAAGTACCACAAAAAAATTTTTTAAAGATTTTATAATTACATTGAAGGATTATAACAACCATATTCAGAATACAAGAAAATTTAATGTATTTTCATCAAAATATGTTTAGATAAAATATTTTACTTTTTCAAAGACGTTTTCCAAAAAGTTCACTATCCCCCCCACCCTGCAATGAGTATTTTAATTCACTGATGGATTCAAAATTTGAATTGATTGCCAGACATTGGTGGCTCACATCTGTAATCCTAGCTACTCAGGAGGCAGAGATCCGCAGGATTACGGGTTGTAGCCAGCCCTAGGCAAATAGTTCACAAGACCCTCTACTGAAAAAAATCCATCACAAGAAAGGGCTGGTAGAGTGGCTCAAGTAGTGGAGTGCCTGCTTAACAAGCATGAGGCTCTGAGTTCAAACCCCAGCGGTGCCACAAAAAAAAAAAGTTCATAAACTATGAGCTTTTGAGTTCTAAGGATGTGTCAGGTAGGGCCCTAAGTTGTTACAATGTACTTTTCTGGTGTGATATGTGGACAGTGGGGGTAAAGGAAATGCTTTCTTTTCAAATCCTGCTGTACACCCAAAACTATTCTAAAAAAATTTTTTTAAAAAGGGGGGCAGGACAGGTACTAAGGGGGAAGTGAGGAGCTGTTGAGCAAGGGTATAAAGACTCCATCATGCAAGATGAGTAAATCCTAGCCATCTAATACAATACTCATTATATACTTGTAATTTTCCAAGAGTGTATAGTTTAGGCGTTCTCACCGTACACAAATGGCAACTATGTGAGCTGATAGGTATGTTAGCTAGATTGATTGTGGTGGATATTTCAGAATGTATATATCATTATCGAAGAGGGTAACAAAAGAGAAAAAAGCTACTTGCAAAGACAGCTTTACTGCCAATTTTATTTAATAAATCAGAAAGGTGTGTATTTGTTACACAGTTGTCTTTGGAAAGTGAGATTATGGGTTATGCTAGTCTTATTGGGCGTTTTATAACCTAGATTAGTTATGTTTTTTTTCCTTTGGTTTTGTCTTTTTGAGACAGTGTCTATGTAGCCCAAGCTAGCCTCAAACTCACAATCCTCCTGCCTCTGCTTCCGGAATGCTGGGATTGTAGGTGTGAACGCCCGCCCCTACTTAATTTTTAAAAGCCAGGCTTGGGGACAAGGACGCGGACTACATTTAATTCACAACCTGCACTGGGACAAATGAACAGTTCAGGCTAAGGGATTATCTTGGAAAGCATTCATTGACCCTCTAACAAGGCGTACTTTCCGGAGAGTGCCTAGCGGTGCGGCTCAGAGGCTTATGGGAAATGTAGTTCGGAGGTCAGAGGTAGACGCAAGTGCAGCTCCGAGGACCCTGGGAACGACGAGCAGTCCTCCTGTCTGCGCATGTGCTTTGCTGCGAGCGCGCCCGTCCTTCCCCCACCTCCAGCGGCGAGTGGGTGACAAGGCCCCATTCTCCGCGTGTCTTTGCCGTCCCGCGCCGTAACCCGGCCTGGCAGGGAGCCACGAGCAGAGGCTGTGCCCTCACAGGTAGGAGGAGGCGCTGTCTGGCAGCTCTGCGCGGCCTGGGGCTTAGGGGCCAGAGGTGAAGGACGGGTTCATGCCTGGGCTGGGTGGGAGCCTAAACTTCGGCGACTGGCAGGCGGCGTTGACCGTCGTCCGAGGCTGCCCAGCGCCCACCTGGGAGCTGGGCCCGGCCGACCGGCCGTGCGGGGGCGGGGACAGCGTGGGAGAAGATGACTGCAACGGTTCGCCCTTCTCCCTTTGTCAGGAGACGCGCCTCCGACTGACCACAGCGAGGTGCTCGGGCCGCGCGGAAACGAGCCCGGAAGTCTCGCGGGCGCGTGCCCGGCCGCCCTCCCCGTCTCGCGAGGGGGTGGGCGGGGCCGAGCCGGCCGCACCTGGCCACGCCCCGGATGCCACTGTTGCTTCCTGGGCCTCGCAGGGGTAGCTGGGGAAGCCTGCTGAGTGTGGTGCCAAGCGCGCGAGTGGTCTGCTCTTTCCAGTGTTCTCAGCGACGTGGTCACCTACAGCCCAGGTCTGCCCTGCGTCGTCCGGTATGATTATCTGAGAACCGCGGAAGAAAAGACAGGCTCAGGAGAGAAAGTGATTTACCTAAGGTCACGCAGCCAGCTGGATCCGTATTGTGTATGACAGCAGATTTCTTTTTTTCCCCATTTGCCTTTGAGTTTGCTCACTGGTAATTTTTGCCATGCACACGTTTTGAATTTCTCTATGCTTGAATTTACTGCTTGTGTCTTTCATGGCACCGAGAAGCCCTCACGACTGTGAGATTGCACAAAAGGTTTCCCATGGGCTGGGAGTATATAGTTCAGTGGTGGGTACAACACCTGCCTGGCATGGAAGGCGACCTGAGTTTGAGCTCCAGCACCTGAGGTGGAGCGGGGAGTGTTTCCCCATGCTTCTGGTAGTTTGGACGCATTGGAATCGATTGCATTCTTTTAAACTGTTGCTACTTTTATTGCGATCCCATTAATGGTTGCATTAATTTCTGGGCACCATTAAATCATCTCAAAGAGGCTCAACTTTAGACCTGTTCTGCGTGCCATCCCGATTCAGGCAAGGAGAAGCAATGGGAAGCATTTTTCTCTATTTTGTTAATCAAAGTGTTGGGGAGGGGGTTCCAAACACTGGTCTGTTAGACAGCTGTCCAGGGTGTCCACCTGGTGGCTTTATCTGTTCCTCTGGCTGGTTTAAAATTGTCTTTCTAATGATCCTTATGGTGAATAAGAGCCACCTCTTAAAGGAGAATCTCTTTTTCTAGAAGATGTCTTATTCTTTATAATTTACAGGGGAAAATTTGGCCATTAATAATCCTCTTTCTTTTCAAATGGCTGCATGTTGTATCAAAGACTCATACCTAAGAGTCAGTATAAATATTTACTCTCTTGCCCAAGTTGCAGAGCTCTAATTAGGGCATAAACTCAGCCTTTTGGAATAAAGAGTGTGCTGAAAGAGCCTTGGCTGCTGTAATTTCAACAGCTTTTACTATGGCATAGCCTTCTGAGCTTTCTCTTCCAAATTCATGCTTTTCTGCTGCAAGAAGAGTGTCAGGAATTAAAGTTTGGCAGGTCTTTAGAGTAAGCCAAAAGTTTCTAATAGCAGCCTGTTGTTGCAGTCACTGTTTAGCCAACGGTGTTCTTTTATCTCTAGAAGGGCTTGAGCCTGGTGAGGGTATTGGAGCTGTCCTGACATGAGCTTTGATGCTTCCTTAACCAGAACGGCTGTCAAGGCTACCAATCTCAAACAACTAAGGCCACTCGGGCACAGGGTCCAGTTTTGAGAAATAGGTGATCAGCCAGGGGTGCCTATTGGGGTTAAGACTCCCAAGACAATTCCTTGTCTCTTATGTTCATACAAGGTGAAAGGCTATTCTCTAAGTTTGGGGGCCCTAGTGCAGGGGCCTGGCTTACCTTAGTTTTGACGACCTCACATGCCTGCTGACAGCCCTTACCCAGTAAAGGGGCTCCTTTTTGTCTCTCTTTAGGAGCTTCAGAGAGCAGTTTTGATAGTAATGCAAAATTGGGAATACAAATTTGGCAGAAATCTGCCATTTCCAGAAAGCTCTGAAGCTGTTTATTGAGGGGAGCAGTGAGGTGACTGCTTGCTTTCCATCTGTTGCTAAGGTTTGGGTTCCTGGTGTTAACTCAAAACCTAGGCACTGTACTCAGAAACCAGGGTCTTGGAGTGGGGAGACCTTGTAACTGCCAGTGATATTACCAGCGTGGGTTTTTTGCCCAATTTGAGATAGAAATCACAAAGCAGGGGTTGGAGTGTAGGTCAAGGTGTAGAGTGCTTGCTTAGCATGTGCAAGGCCCTGGTTCAGTCCCCAGCACAACAAAAAAAGGGCTGGAGGTGTCACTCAAGGTGTAGAGTGCTTGCCTAGCATGCCAAGGCGTTGGGTTCAATCCCCAGTACTGCAAGAAAAAGAAGTTACAAAGAGGCAAGTGATACCATCCAAATGAGGCTTTATTGGGGTTTATGCTGGGTCATAAGGGAGACAGTTCACTGGATAGGATCTCTAGATGGCTCTCCAAAGCAGTGAGTTAAGCTTAAATAGTCCCAAAGGTGGCCTGCACAAGTTTACTAGTGGTTATTGTGTGCAGCTCAAGACTTCAGCAGTTTCTTGCTCTAGACGCCAGGGCAGTGTGCCACCAGGGTGGTCTGCTTGTGGGCAGTGGGTCTGTTTGTGCCCAGCTGGTGGAAGTGCTAATTATGGCCACCCCAGGAAGGTCACACAGCTGTCAGACCAGGCATTCTGGGCATGTGAGGCTTTGAAAAGGGAAAGTCCCTTTGCAAGCAAAGGAAGCAGGTGGCAGGAATAGCACTGTGTTGACACGCGTATACTGCAAAAACCCACTTCTCTTAAACTGGAAAACATGGTTGAGAAGTTACGCCTTCCGTGTTCTGCCTCACACACCTTTATATTTGGTCTGCGTTTTATAATCTTTGTAAAATGTTTTTATTTTTCTTTTCCTTTTTTTTTTTGACAGTACTGGGGTTTGAAGTCATAGGGCTTTGTGTTTTGCTTCCACTTGAGCTTAGCTTTATTTTTGTGCAGTATTTTACTGCTTTTGGAGATGGATTATTTTTTTCTCATGTTTGTTGGTTTTTTTTTTTTTTTTTTTTTTTTTGGTGGTACTCAGGGTGTTATGCTTGCTAGGCAGGCATTCTACCACTTCACCAGCCCTTGTCTGTTGGTATTTTTACTTTTGTGTATTTGGGATCCTCCTACACCCACTTTTTAAAATTAGTTAATGATTATCTATATTATGTCAAAAAGTAACTTTAACAATCTCCATAAATGTAACAATATCTGTAAATGTGTCCAAGATCATTGCAGATATTGTGTGTCTTTTTTTTGTTGTTGTTGTTTCGGTTTGGGTTTTCTGAGACAAGATCCTGCTGTGTAGTCCAGAATGGTCCCAAACGTGTGATCCTTTTGACTTAGTCTCCTGAGTGCTAGGATTATAGGCATGCACTACCACACCAGACTTTCCCCACCTCATGGCCAGTTTGATTAGAAGTTTATCATTATTATTCATGTTTTCAAATAACAACTTTTGGTTTCATTGCATTTCTCTTTTTTTCTGTTTCAGTTTATTGATTTCTGCTCTTATCTTTATTTTTCTCTTTTTGCTTGCTTTGAGTTTAATGCTGTGTGTGTGTGTGTGTGTGTGTGTGTGTGTGTGTGTGTGTTGGTTTCATAGGGTGGAAGTGAGGCCACCTTTCTTTTCCAATATAACAATTTAATGCATGTTGGGCATAGTGGTGTACACCTGTAATCCCAGCACTCAGAAGTCTGAGGCAGGAAGATCACAAGTTCCCAACTAGCCTAGGCTATAGAGTGAGATACTGTCTCAAAAACTTCAAAATAGGGCTGAGAGTGTGGCTCAAATGTTAGAACACCTGCCTAGGAAGTGTGAGACCCTAAGTTCAAACCCCAGTGCTGCTAAAAAAACAAAACAAAACAAAAAATTAGTTTAATGCTATAACTGTCCCTGTAAATACTGCTTTAGTTACATGTCTCAAATCTTTATATGTTGTGCTGTCATTACCTTTTTTTTTTTTTTTTTTTTTTTTTGGTGGATCGAACCAAGAGCCTTCTGCATGCTAGGCTCTACCATTGTGTTAGCTTTTTGCTGCTGTGCCAGATACCTGAAGGCACAGCTTGAGAGAGGACAGATTTTGGCTCATAGTCTCAGAGGTTTCAGTCCATGGTCCCATGGTCACATAATTAGAGGCCTGAGGCCAGGCTGGATGTGGTGGCAAGGGCACATGTGGAGAAAACAATGGGTTGTGGATATTGCTTAGCTCTTGGCAGCCAGAAAGCAGAGACAGGAAGAGACCAGGACATGCCCCCAGTGACCTACTGCCTCCAACTAGGCCCCACCACGTCCCAGTAATGTCATCACCTTATGAATCATCAGGATTTATCCATTGATTTGATTAGAGCTCTTATGGTCCAGTCACTTCTCAGTGATTGGATCCTCCAGCTGGGGACCAGGCCTTCAACACATGAGCCCTCATATCCAAACCTTAGCTTCCTAACCCTGAGTTTCAGCCCTTTTCTTAGCATTTTCATTTGTTTGTTTTTTTCCCCCAGAGATGGAAACTACTGAGATCCCCTATTTGTTCATTCATGTTGTCCACCTTTTCTATGAAAGACTTTAGGACATGAATCATAGCTGCTTTAAATTCCTTCTGGTAATCTTCAGTAGTTGAGGATTTTTTTTTGATTGCTTTAACTCCCTGTTTGGTGGTACTAGGGTTAGAACTCAAGGCCTTGTGCTTGCTAGGCAGGCAGACATTCTACCACTTGAGCTGTTCCACTGGTCCTTGCTTTGACTCTTGTTGGTAGGTCATCTTAGTCTTATCTTTTTGCATGTCTCAATATTTGATTGAGGGTAGGTATTGTCAGTGTGATCCTTTTTGCTCCTTTTGAAAAGTTAGTATTTGTCAAGGGTGTGTAGGGATTTCCAAACAAGACATTCTAGGAGTGTGAGGCATGTCTGATCTTTAATAACATACCTTCCTTTTTCCTTTTTTCCAGTTTTGCTTTCATCGTTCTCTGCCTTTACCGAAAAACTGCAGAAAATGAACAAATCCCAGGTGAGTTGTTTTTAGTGCATTTGTAGAAGTTTATATGGGTCCAGAAAGTGAAGTTAAAAAGTACAAATGAGTTATATACTCAAGGAAAACATAATAAGATCAGTAAGCTGATCAGTGCCAGCAACCAAAGAACAAACTGAATTAAGTCTGGCACTGGTTATGCACACTGGTTCCTTGGTTCTCTGTATGAAGTCTGAATCAGTTTTGTATACCTTCATAGAGATAGAGATGTTTTGGACAACATCTCTAGAAACAGGCAAAATTAAACAGGCTGCAGTTTGTCTAAGGTTGTTTTGTATGGCATTCTGTAGTTCAAGCTTCGGGTGTTATTGTGTGTGTTTTGTTTTTACAATTGGATTAGTGTGATGCCAGAAAAGTCAGTGAATAACTGTGTGGGCATATATTTGAATTCCCCCCCACCCCCCACCAGTACCATTGTCATCACTTTCTTGAATGGCTGTCTAGAATTTAATTGTAAGTATTTATGCAAATACAAATACAGATAAAAATGTAAGATAGCATGTGAATCAGAATGTTCTGTTTGTGTTTTGTTTTTAATTAATAGTCCTCACTTTTTAGAGCAGGTTTTGGTTTACAGAAAAATTGAATGGTGAGTACAGAAAGATCCCACATATCCACCCCCCACACTCCTCAACACACACACATCCATTTCCCCTCTTTGTTTGTCTGTTTTATTTATTTATTTGAGACAAATATTTGTTATGTAGCCCAGACTGGCCTTGATGTAGAGATCCTCCTGCTTTAGTCTTCCAAGTGCTGGGATTACAGGCATGCTGCACCACACTCAGCTCACCCATTAACATTTTATGTTAATGTGGTATACTTGTTACAATTGATAAACCTATTGTTGATTGATTCTTTAACTCAAGTCCATAGTTTACATTAGGATTCATCTTTGTGCTGTACATTCTGTGGGTTTTGGCAAGTCTGTAGTGACATGAATCCACCATTACAGTATCATACAGAATAATTTCACTGCCTAGAAATCCCACTGTTGAATTTCTACCTTTTCATCTCTCTCTGCCCATGGCAACCATTGATTGTTTTATTGTCTTATCTCCCTCTTCTTTTCTACATTTCATGTACTTGGATGCATATAGTAGGCAGACTTTTTAGTTTTGCTTTTCTTCATTTAGAAATATGAATTTAAGGTCCCTTCCTGACTTTTCCTGGCTTGATAGTGCTTGTGCGCTCTCTCTCTTTTCTCAGTTATTTTTTGAGTAGGGCCTTGCTGTTTGTGCCCATGCTGGCCTGGACCATGAGCCTCCTGTTACTGCTTCCCAAGTAGCTGGGATGACAGGTGCCACCATGCCCAGCTTTTTTTTTTTTTTTTTAAATTGGTTGACACGGGGTCTTGTGAACTATTTGCCTGTGCTGGCCTTGAACCGAGATCCTCCCAGTGTCCACCATCTGAGTAGCTAGGATTACAAGCGTGAGCCACTGCACCCAGCTTTGATAGTTCATTTCTTTTAGCACTGAATAGAATTCCATTATGTGGATTGACCACAGTTTATGTATTCTGCATCTATTTAACAACATCTTGTTTGCTTCCAAGTTTTGGCAATTAATGTGAATGTTTTGTGTGAGCATAAGTTTCATTCATTTGCGTAAATACCAAGAACCATGATTGCTAGATGATATAGTAAAAATATGATTGATTTGGTAAGAAACTGCCAAATTGGCTGTACATTTTGCATTTCCACAAGCAATAAATGAGAGTTCATGTTACTCTAATTCTTGGTGTGGATTTTGGCCTTATAATAGGTGTATAGCAGTATCCGATATTTTTTTTTCCCCCAGTACTGGAGTTTGAACTCAGGGTCTTGTGCTTGCTAGATAGGCACTGTGCACTTGAGCCACTCTGCCACCCAGTGTCTTGTTAATTTATTACTCCCTGATAACACATAATATGGAACATCTTTTCATAGGTTCATTTGCCATCATTTGCCATCTGTATATCTTCTTTGGTGAAAATCTGTTCAGATCTTTTGTCTGTTTTTTAGTCAATTTTGTTTTGAGTTTTAAGAATTAATTTGTGTATTTTAAATATGAATCCCTTATCAGACACATATTTTTCAAAGATTTTTCTCCCAGTCTGTGGTTTGTCATTTCATTTTCTTAGCAGGTACTCTACCACTTGAGCCATGCCCCTAATTCTGTCTTTTCATTTTCTTAATTGTATTTTTTATCAGTCAGTAACATATTTTTAATGTCATTCCATATTGACCATAGAAAGCTTCCTTATTTTTTTTCCTAATTTTTTGTTGGGTCATACATATTCTAAGCAGTGTATAAAACGTTATACGCTTTATATGTATTATAACAATGAATATAACAAATATGTATACAAATAAGAATAGTAATAAAATGGGTGCATCCTAATTAAGACATAGAACATTAAGGCTGGGCATGGTGGTCAGCCTATAATCCTAGTTACTCTGGAGGTAGAGATTGGGAGGATTGAGATTCAAGGCCAGCCCAGGCGGAGTTCACGAGACCCTGTGTCAACCAGTGGCTGGGCATGGTGCGTGTACCCATTATCCCAGCTACAGGGCGCAGCATAAACAAATAGCTATTTGGGAGGCAAAGATCAGAAGGATTACAGTTCAGTCCAGCCTAGGCATAAAGTGAGACACTGTCTCAAAAATAAGCAAAGCTAAAGGGCTGTCAGTATGACTCAAGCAGTAGAACTCCTGCATTGCAAGTGTGAGGCCCTGAGTTCAACCCCCAGTTCTGCCCCTCTATCCAAAAAAAAAAGGTAGAGACTTAGGGTATTTTTAATCATTTTTTTTCCCAAGTTACATTAGCTAATGTTAGGAGAAAAGAAGCAACTCATGCCTTGCTGGTGGTAGTATAAAATGATACAGACTTACTGGGAACAATAAGGCAATACTTACCGAGCAAATCTAGCAAACAAGTCTAGCTTGTATTTAGAAATTGTGCTACTAGACAACATTCTCCCAGGAGAAGATGAACTGAGAACTGAGTAATATCTCTGGTCATAGTCTAGCTTCAGTTTATTTTGTTTTGGTTGGTTGTTTTGGTGATACTGGGGTTTGAACTCAGGGCATCATGCTTGCTACACAGGTGCTCTGCCACTTGAGCCATTCTGCTACCCGTAGTTTCAGTTTTTCTGAGAGTTTATAAAAGCCTCATTTGGGGAAGCCATTGGCAAGGTCATGCAAAACATAAGGAAACAGGGCTCAACATACTTGGTCCATCTGGCAGGGTCAAAGTGTGGATCAAGTACTGGGTGTCTAGCAGGAATTTAACTAGAGGGAGTGGGATGTGCCTCTTAACTGCTCCACTGCCAACTCTCAGTAGATTAAAGCAGAACAATTCTGTGAGAAGAAACAAGCAACTTCATCTGATCCAAGGCAACCTGGTGTGGAGGGGAGAGACAGATGTCATCAGCACATGTTCAAGACAAGCCAAACCAAGTACACATAAGAATCTGGGCTAGGCTCAGCCAGGCCATCTGCCCTCAAGGTGATAAAAAGGTGGCATAGTAGCAACAGGTTTTTTGGGTTTTTTTCTTTTCTTTGTGCTATAGATTCCGTATTTGAACCAAGTCTGCTGGTTCTGACCCATGTGTAACAGACTGCTGCATGGTCATCAGAGGCTAGTGTGCATTATTTCTAAGGATTACATCCAATGACATGATGCAAAAAATGGACAGATATAATCATTTAAGACAAGAGATGCCGGGTGCCAATGGCTCATGCTTGTAATCCTAGCTACGCACGAGGCAGAGATCAGGAGGATCACGTTTCAAAGCCAGCACCAGCAAATAATTCCATGAGACCCTATCTTGAAAAAACCCCTCATAAAAAAGAGCGGTGGAGTGGCTCAAAGTGTAGGCCCTAAGTTCAAGCCCCAGTACCACAAAAAACAAAAAAGAAACGCTGTAACGTGCCTTACCGTTCGTGTGACTGATCTAAAGCATGGTGGCTTCCTGCCACCAGGTGCCCAGGACAGAAACTGATTTGGAACCAAAAATTGGGGAATCTGTCCTTCCCAATTGGTAACCTCCCTGTGCCTAATCAGCCTCTAAATGTTACCACAGGTGTCTTGATGACAGCCCTCAGAATGCCTGCTTTTGAATTACTCTGTTCTGGTCTACACTAGAAGCAATTTGGTGCCATTAGGGAATTACTGCCATCCTTCAATCTCTTGCATCTTCCTAGGGATTTCTGTTAACTCTATCGTAGTAATTTCTTGTTTGCCCCGTCCCATACCTCTATCTCTTTTGGATTTCTTTTATGAGTGGGTGTACCGAAGTGTGTACTCTTCAGTAGCTTGAGAAAGGGTGTGTAAGATACATTCTTAAGACTGCCTTTTTTTCTTTTTGTTAGAGATTGAACCAAGGTCCTGCACATGGTAGGCAAGTGCTCTACTACCAAGCTGCATCCTCAGCTGTAGACTGCATTCTTCCTGTTAGTTGCTTGATAGCTTATGCATGAATGTGTATTTGTCTCTTCCTTCAGTTCTGTCAGTTTTTACTTCTTGCAGTTTGGAGCTATGTCATTAATTGCATGTGTGTTTACTGATTGCATGTATGTTTAGGATTGTTCTATCTTCTTGACAGTGTACCCTTTTATCATTTTAGAGTCTGTCTGTCTCTGTAGCACTCCTTGTCGGGTATAAAGCTGCTTGGTTTTTTTTGATTTCTGGTTTGGTTTGATTTGGTTTTGCAGTACTGGGGTTTGAACTCAGGGCCTATACCTTGAGCCACTCCACCAGACTTTTTTTTGTGAAGTGTTTTTTCGAGACAGGATCTCTTGAACTATATGCCTAGGCTGGCTTCAAATTGTGATCCTCCTGATTTGTGCCTCCTGAGTAGCTAGGATTACAGGTGTGAGCCACCAGTGCCCAGCGTGATTTACATTTTTATGGTGTATCTTCTTCTATTCTTTTTGTGTCAACCTTTTTGTTTTCTTATATTTATAGTGTACTTTTTCCTAACAGTATATAGTTGG